GAATTCAAGGGCGGAAATCAGCTCTTAAATACATAAAATATAGTTTCAGCCACATGAAGACACGTTTCAGTAGCGACCACCCAAACACTGTATTGGCCCGGCCGGTTGGTTATTAGGTCGTTGCCACTGGTACTGAACTGTATGATCGGTCCAGAATTTGCTAGGACGTTTCCAAAGTGCGGAAATGGTGAGTGACCATGAGCCTAAGGGTTCCCGGTGGAGGGAGACTGACTGGAAGCTGCAGCTTGAAAAGCCCCGAAACTTTGGAAGGGGTCCCGAAATTTGTATCATGCCCACAAAATCTGGTCCGGCCTTCCCCGAAATTCAAAGAGCACGTACAAATTTCAGAAAGTTTTTTGACCCCTCCCCGAACAAAGCGATCACGAACTATAAGTAGTACTACGGTAACTTTACTGTCCCGTAGCTGCTGAACCTTGGCGCTACACGTTTCCTGACTGCCAAATGGCCATAGGTAGAGAGTAGGTCGTCAGGACAAACAGTGCCTCCCTGTGCTCATATTGGCTGCCATACATTTTAACTTACATCATAACTTTTGACACACTCTGCGGGCATATCTGTGCCTAAATATCATACTTTCAAGGTTGCACATTTACCAAGCTTCTGGCGAGTAACTTGTCCAGACAACTGCCCCCTAGCTACTGAGCCTGACGAGTTACACGTCTCCAGACTGTCATAGGGCACCCTCACAGCCTAGCTCGACACACTAGGAGATTCCTACTAAGGAATACCGATCCATACAAAGATGAGATAGAAAAGCATACTCAACTCTTGCCTTGTGTTCGTCCACCGTCCCTGGACCCGAGGAAACGTCCGAGAGACGCAGCCGAGTATCAGGCCGAGGCAAGGTCGAGGCACGGTCAAGGTGGGGATAGGACCACCCTTCAACACGCACGGCGCCATCCTGACGATGCCCAAACGTCCAGCATTAACCCCCAGATATGCATCAAGTTGCGGGGTAAGATTCCCACTTGTCTCACATAGACCTGGGGTCAAATCCCCTGTCTGACAATACTCAAGTTGGAGAAAGTACCAAACCTCTCAGTACCAGATACCTGTCAATAAAGACTACAGTATACTACCAATAACATGTTCAGCCAGGCGAAATATCATGTCTTATCCGTTACACACACCACACACAGCCACAAGGCTACATGGACAATCCTACAGGGTGTGGCTCCTGTGGGTGCTTCATACTGGGGCCCTGCCCAACAGGACTTCAATGTCAATAAATGTCAACCACATATCTGAATTGCTTTGCAACGTCTCAATGTGTTTTCCCACCTGAGCCATCCACATGCATATCAAAAGCTCTCCTCTCCAACCCACACCTTAGGTCACAGTTTGAATCATTGGCATTTTGTGTGGTCCTGTGATCCATCATGGTCCCCTTTTTGACACCCCTCAACCCCCTTGGCACCCTATGATCCCCTTGGCACCCCACAACCGCCTTCAGCACCCCCACAACCGCCTTTGGCACCTATGATCCTCTTCAGTCTGCATCATGACTCATTGCACCTATCCAACTGTCCAACCCACATATGTCTGACATGCTCTGTCCCCATGAACTGCACCTTCAGCTAACACACAAGTATGCTTGGCATAACAGGAGGACTGCACAGTACCAGTGCAGCATGATATCCTGACCAAGCAATTGTACACTAGTGACCATGACCCATTCAGCAATGGAAAGCACCCCACGACCCCCTGCAAGCCTGTCATATGCTGGTTGCGAGTTCAGCATCCCAGCTGACCATAGGTTAGCACAGGTTATCTGTTGGCCAGGCCAGGCTGCCCCCACTGCAACAAAACAGTATGCAGGTCCACAGCTGGGGTAATGCCAACCTGGATGATTGTGGTACCGATGGACCCCTTAATAAGGCCCACCAGTTGTCCACGGCAGTCCAGGACAGGGCCTCCTGAGTAGCCGTTGTCTGCATGAGCGGTGATGGCCACCTGGCCCACTCTTGTGGATGACACCATGCCCTTGCTAAAGCTAGGGCTAGGAAAGAAAGTCGAAAAGCCGAAGGCGTAAACAATATCACCAGTGCTGCACAGATCACCGAGCAGCGAGTGAGGTGCACGCCGGGAGCCACGCAGTATCGCAATGTCCGGGACATTGTTGGGCACATGGTTCACTAGCATCACATCCTCCTCAAAGCCGTCCTCGTAGCGCGCCCTGAACTTCTCTGCAGGTGGCCCCCTTCCCTGGGGCCCCACTCCACTGAAGCCGACGATGTGGCCGGCAGTAACAATGATCTCGGCAGCTTGACTATACAAAAAACCTGAGAATTCACCGGCTGGCGTGCCATCATTGCTTGCACCATAAATCTTGACAAGTAGCGGGCGGTACTTGATGAATATCTGTTTGTCGTGGTGCTGAATGGCAAGGTTAACATCTGCCGGGTTCACGTCCACCCCGATCTGCATTCTAGCCATATCAGAACTCATTATGGTAGATCTAATGTTAAGTTCAAACACGCACGGTGAGGTAATGCACAGTCTTGTACAGTAGAGAGCGGGCAGCTTAATCAGACGTCAAGATAATGTAACCTAAGATTTCAAGGCAAACATGTTGGAAGCTCCTGAAGCCATTAACACATTATAATATTCCTGAAAATGAAGTACGGCATTTTTGCAGTTCTCGAGGTTTTCGAGGTTCCTAGGTTCTCAAGGTTCTCGAGGTTTCCGAGGTTCCCGAGGTCCGCGAGGGTTCCGAGGTTTTCGAGGTCCGCGAGGTTCCCGAGGTTTTCGAGGTTCCCGAGGTTTTCGAGGTTCCCGAGGTTTTCGAGTTTTTCGAGGTTCCCGAGGTCCGCGAGGTTCCCGGCAACTTTGGAATGTGTAAAATATAACGGGCTGGGACACATGGAGGATTTTGTGCTCCTGCTAGACCCTGAAGAACCAGTTAACCGTGCTTAATCGTGTCAAAGTGAAGGGACCTTGATGTCGAAATCCACATCGTATATAGGGTATTCGAAACCCTGTGTAGACCGTATTGCCGAACGCCTAACCAAGGCCGATCTCACCTGCCGAACGCCTAACCAAGGCCGATCTCACCTGCCGAACGCCTAACCAAGGCCGATCTCACCTGCTTTGAGCTCAGTTTGGCGTCACACTCAGGAAAACGGATAACCAAAAAGATATAAATTGGAAACATCCCTGTCCTTCACCCCCTGCTCATTCCCCCCAGCCTCCCGCGCTAATGACACTCCGCACACACCATAACACACGACAATGTCGTTCCTTATCCCTGATGCCGGACGCTCAAAACCACCCTCGCCACCTGCTCTGCCTTCTAACGCTCTTCTCTCTTCCCAACAGACCTCACCAGCTCAGGCAGCTCACACGTCTGGACCAATGTTCGATTCGCCGGCTTTCTTCACACACCTGTGGCAGCCCTCATGCACCTCCAAATTCTTACTGATTGCAGGAGCCACGCTGCAGCGCCTCGCTCGCGCCGTATCCACCATCCTTCACCTGAACACTTTTACCACGAACTACCAATGCCCCTCCCCTCCTTTCCCTAGTCTCGTCTTGTCTGAGCCGGCCATAACCTTCTTCTCCCCCCAGACCCCCCCCACCTCCCTTCCCC